CAGCACGTGCTCGGCTAAGACAACCTGTTTATCAAGTCACGGCTAGTCTTTCCGATGACCCCACACGCCTTGCCGCGCGCGCTGCGGCGGGGGCATGGCTCGGTTCTGGTGACCCGCCGCGGGGCCGAGCCGCCCGGCGGAGTCACCACCGCTTTTATGATCCCCCAGCTCGTTTTATACGCAAACAACGTAGAGAGAAAAACAATATTTCTTAGTCTGAATTGCGGTGAAACGTTGTGGCCGCCGAGTTGGTGCGGGATGAGCGGTGGACCAGGAGGGCAAGGCCTAAGTAAACCGCTCCCGATAGGCGCGCCCCGCGCCGCGCCCGCGCGCTACACTCTCTCGAGAAGGTTGAGCGTATCGCTAGTTTATCGCCGCCTGCTCTTTTTCTTGTTCGTGCGCACAACACTTGAACATGAATATGTATCACGTAAGCCGGTATGGCTGGTCTGGCCGGCTCAGCCCGGCTCAGCCGGCATGTGTGTGTTGTTGTTGTTGCTATTTCGGGGGGACCCGGCTCACTTTGAATAGGCCATATGCGGCTCGTCGGGCCGTAGCCCACTGTCCTCCATATAGACGTGCTGCTGCGTCGCTCGGCATCAGGCATACTATCTCGGCGGGCTTCTTTCCGAAGTTCCGGCCGCGCTGCTAACCAGTGATAACACCCTACCCTGAATGCAGCAGCCCTACATTGAGAAGCGGCCATCCAGACGATCCGAGGGAAAGGCCCATTACATCCCAGTCCGCGCTGCACTGGTCAATGGAGAGAGGACCCGCCTTTCCCCTCGATAGCCACGGCTTATCGGGCCAGCCCATCTATCCGGATCCAACCGAATAAACCCGGTCCCGGCCGTGGACCTTGGCGGGGTGTTAGCCCGCCATACTCGCTTTTTATCCGGTCTCGAGGTCACCGGCAGCAGCGGCGCGAGCATGGTGCAAGTTGGCGCCCGGCGCGCCCGTCCCGGCCGCGGCGCCTCGACTGTTCGCGTCCACTCGCTGTTTGTATTGTATCACCGGCCGTCTCTGTCCGCCCGGCCATACGCCGCACGGCACACGCGCATGATAGAGCGCTGACAGCCCCGGGGACAGGTTCGCGATCAATGCGTCTCGTTGTGACGTCACACTCCCCGCGCGCCACCGCCCCGCACACCGCCCCGCGCCTCCCACCCGGATCCATCATGACGCCATACGGCACACGGCACTGCCGAGAAAGACAAACATTCATCACACTCCCGCGAGCCCAACATGACTCCAATAACCCCCAGCGGCCGCCCCCGCGCAGCCCCCGCGCCGCGCCGCCCGCCCTCGCACCGCGTTGAGTCTGCCCCGGTCTGCTCCGCTCTCCGCTGTGTACGTCGGCGGCGTGCCGTGGACAGCGGTGGCCTGGCCTGCGGCTGCTATTCTTGCGGTGCAGACAGACAATGCATCGTTCGCCGGCTTCCTTTCGCGTTGCAGTTCACAATCGGTCTCCCCGCGCGGCGGCGCCACTCTATATAGCATTCCGAGGGAAGCCCCCC